CTTCAGCTCTAAGTCTTGGTATTGTTTTCAGTTCTACCATCTTGCAATAGGTTAATTTGTCCCCCACCTTTCAGTAACGCTGCTGTTGAAAACACGTTTCCTTCAAGAGGTTCTCTCATAGAAACTAACATCCAATTTCTCATAAGCATACTCTGCAGAAAAGAGGTAGCAAACAAATAAATAAATATCAAAATAAGTTTAATACATTCTATTTTCTTGCCTTAACATACATTTAAAATGTGGGCTTCATCATGGCAATTTTAAAATAAGCTCAGAACATTATCAATGCCTAATAAGAAAATACATCATATTTCATTAATATTTATCAACTTGAATTTGTCACAAAATATTTTAGCCAGCACTTATTGACAACTCAGAATGTTAATCATTCTTGTAAATAAGCAGCAGTGTTTTTTTATTTGTAAATTTCTCTCCTGAAGGTACATACCTAAAACCTAATGCATGAGCATTTCTAAGGCCACAAGCATTCAAGCTCCCCTGTGTGAAAGTGACAGCCACGGTGGTGAAACGGCCAGAGCAGAAGTAGGTTCCTGTTCTTTCATTTGCCGTGATAGTGTGATCCTGAAATTAATATTCAGTGATAACTTCAATTCCTCTAGTTCACCTGTTGTTTTATAAGAAACAAATTGTTAAATGTTTTTCTGCTATGTTATTTATTTATTTATTATTTTCTGTTTCCTGTAATGTACTATGATACAATTAGAAATAAAGATACTTATAACATATGTAGAATAAAGGGTTGCAAAGCACTTAAATTGTTTGGATGGTATGAAGTATAGAAGATCTACTGGTGAATATCTGGGAAAATTTACCTCTTATTTCTTAACTCTCTTTCTGTCAATCATTTTAGTCTGTATCAACTCTATTAATCAGTGCGTAACCAGGAAGAAATTCTCTACTTATCAATACTTGTGAGATAACCAGAACATCTATTGAGTATTGCTCTCTGTTCTTAGAAGGGAAGCGTAGAAAAACACTTAGCTACAGTAGTGACATTCTGAGATTATTCATCGAAATTATTAACTGAGAACAGGAAAATGGATACTTTTAGATTTTTAAAAATGGTACCTTATACAAACGCTTTCTCAAAATGTTGCCGATGATGACCCATTGCTTTAAATTTGTTTTCCCATTGTTATAAACTTGTTACCCTCATCCAGCTG